CCCCTTCCCTTCCCCTAAAAAAGAGATTTCTCGTCACGATCTCCAGATATTTTCAAACAAAAAGGAGAAGAGAAGAAAGTACAAACTTCAACTTTGGAATACTGTTTGACGAAAAAATTCCAGTGGTTAAAAGTACAAGATATGCATGGCTGAACGAATATTTGAGGGAGATTGGGAAACACTGGTGAGAGAACTAGAAAAAAGAACGGGTAAAGATAAGTCGAATGGAGAAGTTGACGAAGATTGCACCTGGTAAACTTTACCGTATGACAATTCCATAAGAGCGCTTTTCGACTAAGTGTCGTAAAATCGAAGGGAGGTAAATGCATCTTAGAGCCAATGAGAACAAAAACTAAAAAAACGAGCGAACAGCCTCAAGCGCGGGAAAACGCGGGCGACCAAGTTGTAAATGGTTTTAGTTTGCATCTGATTGGTTGTGAGAGTGACACGAGTTTTCTAGACCAATCACAAAGTGAAGTAGAGTTAAACCAAAGCAATCCCTGATTACTTTTGACACTTAATTGAAAATTGCTTTGTAATGTTATCGTTCTACCAGTTTCATTTCAACGGAGATTTCCACCAATCACGTCTAACTTAAGCGGCAAGCATAAATCTTTGGCAGTTTGCCTTTCAACCTTAAGTGCAATAATCATATTCTGAAAAATATGCCATTTGTTGTGAATAGAAGCTATTTCTTTATTTTCTGTTCGACTCGCCCTCGGTTGGGAACCGGCAAGACACATTACAATATATTTGAGACATATGTCTGTTATCTTCTATTTAAATGAAGTTTTCAAAGAGTGGTATTACAGGTCTGTTAAACAATTCACAAACGCAGCTTCAAAATTAACCTTTGAGTACTCTCGATCGCTGCTTTTTGTGTTTTGTAGCTATTTTCGATTTTTCGTTCATCAAAGTTGGCGTGCATATAAAATTAAACTGATAAAAAAGTTAATTTATTCAAGATCACTATGCACTAGTATACCTATTTGCTAAGAAGCGCTCCGGTTTGCTCGCGGGTTACTGACCTTCAGTTCACTTAATCAAGAACAGCATCATATGAACTTATGCCCAGTTTTCCTTTATTCTCGCTATTGTAAGATCTTCGCGAGAGCTAACAGCTTTTTCAACGAACTGTTTATTTTCAATGAATTTTTCTCCATATTTGATTAGCGGTTTTAAAGTGGAAAGGTGAAATTCCCCGGTTACCATAGACACCGCCATAAACTCAGACGTAAAAGCCGAGTTTTGATCAGGTATGTTTTTATTCATTCCTATGAACACAAGAATTGAGTAATGTTTTCTTTCTTTATAAAGTTCCTTATGAGAAAAAAATTTTAAATAACAACCAAATAAAAACAGAAGGCCCTAACCCGCACCAGGAAATCGTGTAAACATAAATTACTAATCATTTTTTCAAGGAAATTAACACAAGTTTTATTTGTACGTTAGTGGACCGACATTGGCTATCGTCACCTAACATTGGCTATTGTCAGCCAACATTAGCCATTGTCAATCGCCATTGGCTATTATCAAAGACCCTTGATATGTTCATCACGGTATGCACCTTCAAACCCGTTCTTTTGAAATTGCAACACATTCTGTAATTCTTCCTTTGAAAAATGGTAGGTTTTGTAGCTGAAAAGCACGTAAAAGAACAAAGAAATTTTTACTGCTACGCGCATGTTTTTTCTTATTTTACTACAATAAATTAAGATATTAGCAATGATTCATCCGGGATATTGATATCTAGTTCGTTTATCATTGATTACTCTCCTCGGTCAGAAACTGTTTTATTAAATTAAGTTTACCTTTTACCTTCTCTCATCAATGAATACGTTTCAACATTTTCATTGTTTCTCACATCACGCGATCTTTTAATCTTCTGCATGGCCAAGTGTTGAAAAGTTTTCACCAAATCAGTGAATTGCCTCTTAGATTACGACTTCAGGTTTTAATTAAAATATCTTGTAAAAGATTTCAATATCTGCAACGAGGATGGTAAATGTTTTTTGAAATTGAAATTTACAGTCCTCGTTTACGTGATCATTGTGCAAAAAGTGTCACTGACATATCGACATTCCTGTTCCAGTGCTATTGCAGGAAATTTGCCGCCATATGGAACTACTTACACGGTGGCAGAGCGTCCGTCCGACCGGAAAGTCCTAGGTTCGAATTCTAGCGGGAATACTCGAAATTCTTTTTATTCGAGTATGTAGGTGTCATTTGCTGATTGATGTCATCTTTCATTTCAATTTCTGTTTACATTTTGCTGTGAAAAAGGATGTAGGCGGCATATGTGTTTTAACTTGGTGAATGACCACTATGCTAAATTGAATAAAAGATATTGAGGTTTAAACAGCAAGAAAGACTTATTCAGTCTTATATGAAAGACTTGAACTGCGAGAGAAATGAAACGCAGTTGGATGTTTCTTATTTTATTCATTTTTCTTTTAAAAAAGTGAACCTATAACAGTTTTAAACATACTTTTCCGCTTAACTAAAACTTAGTGAAAAAATTAGCCGAAGCATTGAACAATTGATTCCACTATGCCAGAAGCTGGAATGCTTCGATAAAGATCCACTATGAATTCAACTTGTTCTTAAATAGCGAACGCAATTCATTTGCTGATAACTACCGAAGACTTCCGGACTTAAATCTTTCAAAATTGTTTAAGTTATCAAAAACAACAACGAAATGTATACTTCATCGCTGTGCCAATCTCACGGATTCGCCAGCAATATAGTACTGGGTTTAAAGACGAATTGAGTAAAAGTATCATGGACGTTATTCCTAGAATATTAGGCCGGAAAACGTTGCTCATTATCATTATGGAATGCGGCATGTAGCAACAAATGAGTAAAATGCACACGAGAAATGTGTTTATGGTAGATTTCCTCATTTTACGAAAAATGTTTTCTTCACTGGGCTGTTGTTGTTGTGGCTGCTGCTGTCGTTGTTGATGTGCTATCTGCAATCGATGGCGCCTAACAATGAGATAGATTTTCAAATAGACAAAAAAATTTACAGCTAGAGACACAAATGTTATGGAAGACAAAGATGGATAAAATTGTTCGTTAGTCCACAGCCTTGTACATGATAAGATACCCGAGATTATCCAAATTGCAATTACTGCCCAGGAGATACGAAGCGGCGTTACAACAGCTTTGTACCTCAAATGCAATTGAAGTGCGAGGAGGCGGTCGATGCCGATTGCCGTCGTGGTGGTAAAAGACGCAGTGCATAGAAAGATGCTTAGAAACTCAAACACTATTACAGTTCGAGAATGAAACGTTGCGTTTGTTAAAACCAATGTTATATAGAATGGTTCAATGAGCAAACCTACAAAAAGGTCTGAAACCGCAAGACTTGCTAACAAAACATTTGCTGCTGAATGTAAAGAGGGTGTCCTCCACAGCGCCAGTAGAATCGCAATGTTTCCGAAGGAAGCAGTGATACAGAAGATGACATTCACTGCACAAAATGCTATTAAATAATGAAGTCTGTTTTCGTAATCTAATCCTATGACGGAGTCGGAGATTTTCTTGAATTTCGACGCACTGTTGTGTTCATAATTGTTGGAGGACTGCGTTGCATTAATCATCTCGTCTGCTTTCATCACAGCCCTACTTTTTCTTGGACTGTTTGTGTTGCCCGCCACTGTATATGTGATTTAAAAAATATGGAAAGGGACATTTAAATATTCATAGCTAACCTCCAACGTCCTCCTTCTTTGTGCTTTGTGTTCAGTTAAAAAGTAAACTTAATTTAAATTTATATTGCAGTTGACATGGGGTTTTCATAAGGACAAGAGGTTCCTCTTAACAAAATCATCCACGGAGCTGGATTGGCTTTCAATTTTGAATGTGACCTCAAAGAAGTGCAAACCAATACAGAAAAGTATTTTATGGAACCAGGTCTGTGGCTTGTTTCATTCTTGTCTTATTTGTCATGGTCCTCCCTCGACAAGTATCTTCATTCGCATTTTAGAGATATGATTTAAAATACACTATTTTCATCTGTTTCACACTGTTAAGGAAGTGGCCATGGGAGATTGTGCTAGTTTCTAAATTTTTGAAAATTGTCGACGGCTGGTATCGACGATGTAGCAGCCATTTAGCGCATCCTGCATATGAAATTTTGCAAAAAACACGAAAACCGAGATTGAAAGGTATAGCGTCGCTCTCAATGAACAAGCATCTTTGATTAAAATATCGATAAAGGGAGAGGACATGTTTGTTATTTCAGTAAGAGACTGAGCTCAAACTATTTGATTGGATTTCAATTATATTAACGTTACGAGTGTTAAAAGCTGATGATTAAAATGGTACACGTTCGTTAAAGTAGCTATCCAACGCAGCATAACACTTCCAATTTCGAATTCTATAGAAATCTGTAACCTTGAACGCAAATTCAAGGCACAATCTTTAGGGAAAGGAGTTATTTTTGTGTTAATTTACACACCCTCTGTACATGATGATAAGAAAAAGGCAGTAGGCTTCAGCAATGCATAACGATATTCTTGAAGGTCTTAATTAAAAATTTGTAATTTAATCTGAAGGCTGAAGAAAATTGAAAGACCAAACTAACTAAATTAAGAAAATCCGTGATTGAAAAATTAACACCAGTCCTCTCTTCAAATTCACAAATTTATATAATAAAGTCCGTTAGGTGGACATGAGGAATCACCTTTGAAAAAGCCTTAACTTAACCTATTTCAATCTCAACTCTAAAAATCTTCGCTATGCAAATATTCTTCAACCTCATTCTTAGGTTCGCTCTCTTCATTTGCACTTAAATTCATTGCACGTGTAAATTTTTCAGCTCATTTACATTTTATGGTTCCTCGTGGTCTGAACTGCTTCACGCCACGGAAATTTAACGTCCAAATGCCAGAGCCAGAAACACTAAGGAGTTTCTATGCTTATGCTGGCTGGCTTTACCGACATGGATTGACTATTCACCACAAAGCTGTTTCTTTTTTTTGCAACAAAAACGAGGTAAGAATGAGAATTAATTCAACTTGAAAGTTTTTGAGCGACGCTGAAATGAAGTTGAGAGAGTTTTATATGAACGATAGAAGAGTCCCAGACTAGTTCTTTATAACCAGTGCCGCTTTCAGGTCTCCGTTCATAATTTCGATAGCAAATTTCTCAGTTAGTTTGTATTATTTGTATCAGTTCATCTAGGCTAGGAAGAAGTTTAGTGTAACGCATATTTTTCGCTTAGCGGTACATTGAAAGATCCCTAGTTGTAATGCAGAAAACATGATTAGTATTGCAAGTTCTTTATACTGTTCTCTATACGTTTTCTATGGTACGTTCAAGAAGAATTTGCTTGATAATCAAGAGCTTCCTGACCTCGTCATCAGCACCTTGATTCTAATGACTTAAATCTTTGATTCAAGGGCGATACTGTAAGGAGAAATTAGATGCTTATCACTTTTTGGGGTAAAAACGTTGATATTTAGATGAACCTCTTACATTCTTAAACCAGTATTGTGTAACTCATGGAACCGAAACAATTTTAAGAGTTTTTTTTTTTTTGCACGTTTTAGATGAACTGCCATAAAGATAAATAATAACAAAGCATATGAGGAGACAAAGAGCGAACGAAAGCAAAGAATTGCATTACGGTAAGAGACATTCTTTAAAAAATAATAATAATAATAAAAGAACAGGTTCATAACATAAACATGTGGTTACTCTTCATGAGAACCTGTAGCTATATTAATGTATGTGGAAAATCTCAGTTGAACAAATATGCAAAAAATAGCTTGTTAAGTGATGGGTTAATTGTGGAGACCAGTTGAAAGTTTTCATTGCAGTGTGGAAAATAACTTTTCAAATTCTAGGCAGCAAAATGTTTAAAAGCCATTATGGCTCTTTTGATAGACCTCTTGAGATTGCATGTTTTTACCCCATTTCGAGTCCCAAGGGAATTCTCTATCATTGTGAATCATACATACAAATGCACGTAAATAAGAGGAAATCTTAGCAACGCTAAGGAAGACCTCGATTAAAAAATGAATTTCTGCCTTTAATTAGAATTTTAAAAAATGGCTGCATTTATGGCTACCATCTCATACGGCACCACACCTCAACTTCAGCATAACGTATAAAAGAAGCGTTAAGTTCCAAATGGAAATTAAAATAATTTACCGTCGCGGTTTCGGTTCGCAGACAACTCAAATTGTGGTGATTTCACGTTGTTGTTTTGCACGGGACGGCTAAGAAATGTACAAAGTTTTAAAACGCACGCCCATTAGTTCTTTTGTTTTTCCATGTCCTCGTTGCCGTCGCTGTCGTGGTTTGCTTAAGGTCTCTAGAGTTATGGAAATGGTAAACAACACGTACAAGCTAAAGAGTTGTATTGTTCTGTAATTTGGAAAATTACAACAATTAAATTTTAAAAGCTAAGAAGTCAAGGAAATGCAACGAGATCATTTAAAACGAAGAGTAAAAAAAGATTATTTTGTACGGTAAAAGATGATGAGAAGCATTTTAAAATTTAAACTTTTCTCTTGATCGTCAGTCACTTTTAAGTTTTAATAGTTCGAGCTTATGAATTTTCGTTCGAAAGAAAATAGGAAATTACCTATAAACATGTTGATAAGATTTCTGCACAGCCCCAAGCTTCATTATGCATACAGTTTTCGAAGACAGAAAACAGTGGCGAAAACAATTGATTGCTTTTGGGACTACCGCTTTGTTTTAGACTAGGATGAGGCTGTGCAGAAATCTTATCTAAAACTGTAATGGCCGTCTCTAGCTTTCGCGATAAATCTTAGAAATTCTTAAATATTTTTCCAATTTTTCCCAACTTTTCAAGATGATTTAATCAAAAGTAATGAGCGACGGTATTTTAATTTGTCTTAGATGACATTTCGTCACTAAGTTGCGCCACCGATAAAGAATGATCGGAATGTAAACAAAATTTTTGCCACGCATTAAAAGCTGTGAACAATCAGCTTTATTGTTCTGAGACGCTAACTTTTTCATCCCAAAAATTTAAGTAACCTTGTTGCATGCCATTGAGAACATATTATTTCAGTGCGGGAAATTGTCATTATTGCCGTAAATTCTGAAGGGCGTTTACGTAAGTTAAGCGCAAGGGGAAGGCGTGTCTTCCAATCACGTCGTTCTAAATCTTCGATTACATGTGACGCACGCTTTGTTCGCACATTTTTTGATGAAGGCAGAGACCGATTATAGAACCATTTTGGGCGACGCAATTAATTAGCTTGAAAATTTAGAAACGCCTTAGTTTTATTAAAATAATATTTTGCAGTTCACACTCGTACGAATTTTCATCAACGAGAAACGACCTCGGAAAGATTTTCGCATAACCTCATAACATTCTAAAACAAAGTTGTCGTCCCTAAGGCAAACTATTGTTCACGCCTGATCATTTGGATTGATCAACCAACACAGTTGGCTTGTTAGCTCAGTTGGTAAAGCACTACACCG